ATCGCCAGCCAATCGTAAAGAAGACCAGATCACGTGCCACGAGACCAAGAAAAATTAGAAGTAAAGGTCAAGAACAAGACAATACTTACCCTCAGAGACCAGGACAATCCACAAGTATACCCTAAACTCGGACCAAGTCTTCCACGCCGTCTTTCAACCTACCGATTAGGGTTGATTGTTAGATTTATAGCGATTAAGACCCGGATCCTTGTGTGACATAGACCCCGGATGAGCTCTGTCTAAAAACCGATTTAGACTTTATCGTTATCGTTATGTTTTTAGAGTAACAGATCGGGTATAGTCTGTAGAACATCAAATGGTCATCTGATAAAACAATTATAAATAAAATTTGAGAACGTTAGTCTTTTTTTTTTTCACAAATAAATCATGGACAGAAAAAAAAGTAGTAATAAAAAATCTGTAGGTATGCAAACAATAGCGATAAACACGTTTGCAGACCCAAATAGCATAACTTATCTAATTCAAAGTGCAATCTCTCGGAGTATATCTCATTTTAATATAGACGAGCAATTAAGCTTTGTTGGTGGTAAAACCAAAGGTATATGCAAAATCAGTAGTGCAGATCCAAGACTGTCAAGTGTGCCTTTATATCTTGAGTACGAGCTCGGAAATGCCTATACTGTTGTTTGCTCACCTTCAGAATTTAAAGGGAATCCTTTAGTTCTCATAAGTCCATTCAGTAATCATTTTGAATATAAGACAAGTTCATATAAAATTATTACGGGACTTGATCATAGCAAGACAAAATTTATTGATAATGATAATTATGTTATTGAATTTGTTAAAATAACCGATCTTACAGAGCAAAAACATGAACAAAGTCATATTATTGGACTTACAGAGCTTGTAAAGTCTAACCTTAATATCACCGACAATCCCATTGAGACAATGGCAGACACAGTATCAACCAAAACTGTAATGACACAGACAGAACCTATTGTCGAGGATACTAAAAAGCTAACCTATATTGCAAAGGGTATAATGTTCAAAGCATACATTGTTTCATTTGGAATGAAAAGGAGGAGTTTAATCAGGGAAGCACGAAGGGCATTATACGATTTGTCAGCACCGATCCAAGTTTAAAGAATATGACATTAACATGTAATTACCGACTGTCGAAAAAGTTAATTGGTTTTTCGGGTGATATGGGGTATCCTATAATCATAGACTGTTCATATGGGAGCACCAAGACTGTGCTCAGGTTGGATAAGAAGAAGATTCTGGATTGTAATCAATATAATTTGACATTTCTTTCGTAAAATGTCTTTTTTTCATTTTGAAAGTTTTATTATTTAATCTTATATTTATACAATTTTCATCTGACATCCTTCAAATATATAATTAGTTCACTATTTTATTTGCTCAAAAATTCGCTGATGTTGGTTATTATGTTGTTCTAGGAGTTATAAAAGGTTGATTTATATATTATTATTTAAATCTAGGATTAATAAAAAAAAAATATATTATTTTATACGAAAAATAAACAAATTAATTTAAATATCAAAAATACAAATATCCAAGACTTTCACAACGTAGTAACTCCGATATAGTTGGTTTTAGCTTAATTCGTGTGACTAAGTAAATTATTACCCGATCTAATGGATTGTAATATAAACTGTGGTCTTCACTGTGTTGGTGGAGTACCTTAACGATGCATCAGTCAAAGAAGTAGCCAAGCGGGTGTGAGTTGTTAGGAAAAGACCCAGAGTGTTCCATATACTCTAGACACTGGCCTGCATTAGCATAGTTTGGGCCAAAGATCACGCGCGGATCATGCGCAGATCACGCACTCAGCGCGAAATATTTGGAAAAATATGAAGTTTGCCCACCACTAAACTCCAGTCGTATTAAAAATTGCGTAATACAAAAGATAATAATTATGTAATAATAACATCTCGGCGGATTTGTGGAATTGGACCTTCATTTTAAGTATCAAATTTAACAAAAATGGACCTACTTTTAAATTGCGGAGTATCAATAGCGACATTACTTTATACAACAATGAATCGGGATGTAAATAAAGATCCAATTTATAGAGGTATTTAGAAAAGGTCCAATTCCACAAATCCGCTGAGATGATAAATTTTGTTCTATTTATTTCATACATGTCATATGGTATAATTTATATAGATGAAATACGACGCACGACATTACCTCACATGTGTCGCAATAACACGACGAGTTTTAAAGATTAATATTTGATCTACAATATGAATTTTGTAACATTGTTCATGCCGAATTTATTCCACTGTGACCTGACAGCACGTGTTCGAACTTTATTTTAGTAAGGAAGTGAGAGTTTACTACTATTAGCTATTGTTAATTTTGTTTTAACTAGTGATGGGACTACAGATGCTAAAAATTCAATTGTCACATGCCGTGATCTATTAAAAAATTTTGATTCTTTATAAATTATTGAATGCGATAATTAAGTATCACCTATTTTTAGCATCTGTAGTCCCATCACTAGTTTTAACTATTATTATTGTTATTTATTATTGTAATAAACTTTATTTTTGCTAATTTGGCTATCTGTAGGGATGTTAAACTGAGCACATATCAGTTACAAACTGGCAGTTAGCTATTTAAGATAGTTACGTGTACAAAAACTTTTTAGTTCCGAATTAAGTTAATGTAGTTATTTCCTAACTACTTAACATCTTCTAGCTATCTATAAGTTGATTGGTTTGAACCGATTTGCTTAACATATCAGTACTCAACTAAAGTCGACTTGGTTTGACTAAGTCGATTAAACCGACTTAAGTCGATTTTACAAATAATGACTTGTATCACTAAATTTTCGACCATAAACAATAGTAATTTTAAAAGGTGTAAATAATTATTCATTTTAAATTAATTAAATGATATTGTAACGAGTTATAAATATTAATACATTTGGATAGATTATTTTAAATTAAATTGTAACGAGTAATAAATAATCATAAATTTTGATAGATTATTTTACTGTAAATATTTTGATATAGACGTTTCTTTAATTTCAATACAGAATCAAATGAATAATACTTCAGATCAAATAACATGATAATAATATGTTTGATCTGAAAGGTTAATACGTATTCATGAACTCGAATAACTTATTTTTGAGTACATAGAGTTTTTTTTATTTATATGATGATAATAAAGTGCTATGTTTTGTAATTATAAATATTTACGAACTTGAATAGCTTACTTTAATACATCAATTAACATTTTAACATTAAATTAATAAAGTATTGCGAGTAGATTTAATAAGTCTCAAGTTTATACCTCTATCAAGTTCAGGCAATAAATCAGATAACTGAAATTAAGATTCAGATGAGTAGCTATATCGTTATATAAATCATCTTTTAATAATAATAATTGTCATATTGATATACAGCAATTTTTTTATTAACTTTAAATAAAAAATAATACGTAATAGAATAAGTAAATAAATAAAGCCTTATTTGCGTACATATATACAATGATTTTATTATAGTCTTATTTCTAGAAATTATAATAATATTAATTTTCGATATCTATACGTATCTATTGTGATTTAATCACATTTTAACGTTAATAAAATTACTTTCTTGTTAATCTATTCTAAAAACGTTAAACAAGGTGAGACCTAGTGGTTAAATATACAAACACAGCAGCAAATATCACACAAATACTTTAAGGATTTAACATGTGAAGGGTCTAGAGCATATATGCATTACTCAATGGATTTTTTAGGACGAATATAACTTCATGAAATGTTCAAAGTCAGACCGCTCTTGGTACTAATACAAAATTTTATTATACGTATTCATAACTTGTATTATTAGTATTATTGTACCGTTAGAAAATTTTATGATTTGATATTATGATTTGATACTAGCTTTAATGCTGAATAAATTTACAACGTAACGGTCATATGATTAACAAATAGATAATTATGGAAATAAATATTCTATGTTAAATTTAGAGAACTGGCTTTTCTCGACCAATTTTGGTATTTTTTTTTTAAATTTTGTGTTAATAAATAAATTGATCGAATTTCTCAGTGATCGAATTATAGTTAATATTAATCTTCGTGACGGTATAATTTATTTGTAATGCAAATATTATAATTATTCCTATTCCTTCTTCTATCATTAAGATCACGTTACGTGGTGATCTATTATCTACGCATTAGAATTAAAAATACCAAAAATGGGTGCAAAAAATACCAGTTCTCTAAATGCATACTAATGATTTCCATACGCATGCATTTATAAAATTCCCGAATGTATTTTTAGTGCATCTATTTGTGCGTATAATATTATAGTTTCACAGTCATCTAAATATCTAAAATAGCAAGATGTATTATTTTCCACAATTCTAATGAATATGAATAACCATTAATAGCATTAAACGATGTTTGTTTCTCTACTTGCTCCTGGAAGGCTTGCATTGGGATTTATTTGTACGTATATGATATACCGATACTGCATATTGAGAGTATTACAAATTGATTTAAACCACTTAAGATTCACCCGAC